AAAACACACCTACTCATATGCACATTACACCAACAACACACATACACACACAGATGGACACAATAATGATAAACCATGACACATGTATAATTACACAGTACTGTAAGAAGGCTGCTATCTGATAAATATTCCTCAAATACCACCAAATATCTCGCTGCGGTCTGTGTGTCTATGTGTGTGTGTATATATGCAAGAGGTATAAGGTTTCACACACAGTCAGTAGAGAAATGCATGAACTTCAAGCATAAATAGGTGCACATTGGTTAAAAATGCTGGCTAAGCAAACACACACAGACACAGTGATGGTACCCGTGAGGGCTGATCTGATATACTATACATCTCAAGCCTCTGACCATGCAGGGTGACATCATCAAACTGCTGAATGACCCTGAATCCTCTGTTGTCACCGGTTACCATGAGTGTCCATCGGCGCTGCCCGTGCACCCCCCCCCCATAGCTGAGACATCTGCCTTTTCTGTTACAATTAAGGTGGCTACTATTACTCTGAAGAAATGAGTGAGCCCCTCCCTCCCAGGTTTTGCCATGATAATGTCTATTGCGTTTATCCAAAAGTATGGGGTAAGAGCCCATATTGGTTCATAATCTAAGATAGTTCCATGATGTATGGGACAGGTGGCACCGGTCTCCTTTTCTCCTAGAAACTACAGTCTGCAGTTCCTCTCCAAGTCTTATGCCCTAATATACAGACACTGGCTCCCAGACACAACAGAACAGAATTACTGCTTATAAGGCCTGGACTGTGAGCTGTATCACAGGCATTAATGGTCATTGACAGAATCCTCCGAGGTGCTGATGTTGACTGCGTGTGGCTTAGTAGGTGGCATGTTAGTGTGACATCTTGTGAAGGACAAAAAGTTGTACCTGTGCAGCTGTCATGCTATAAAAGTTCCCATAAAAAAATGAGAAAATATTTTGTATGTAATTGAAGTACCTGCTAGCAACTGATTACAGAGTGGTTTTTCTCCACATTCTGTGTTAGATGGGACGCACGGCTCAAAAGCAGTTCAAGCTTCAACCAATAGATGGAGCCCATTGTCCATGCTATGGAAGCATCGCTGAGCAACATGAAAGTCAATGTCAGCTTTGTTGTCACTGTGCACATGCACAGCTAAATGATATAACAGGCTCTCTTAGTGCACGCATTACACATAGTATTAAAATAGATGGTAGAATTGAATAAATGAAATAGCAGTAAAAATGTGCAACAATCAGTTTCCTAAGTTGCAAGGGTCATATTTAAGGGTTAAACGACATTAAACACACAACTGTGGAGGCGAAGAAATATCCAACATGCAGTTTAGCCTATGCTAAGATCATAAGCCAGTCGTTACTTCAAAATTGCCTGTTGTTAAGTCTAAAGGCCAGTTTTTAGTTGTAAATGTGGCTCAGTGCCTGTAATCAGAAGGTCACCGGTTCAAACCCGGCCTCAGCACGTCTGTGGGTCCTTCAGCAAGGCCCTTAACCCCCAGCTCCCTCGTGCCCCAACAGGTGGCAGCTCTTCACAACGAGCCAATTTCCCCATGGGGATCAATAAAGTGTCGGTTATTATTATTAGTAACCGCCGCGTAAGCAGGATTAGTGCACCGGTGTAGTAACGGCTGCGTAAACAGGATTAATGCACCGGTGTAGTAACCGGCCTGTAAACAGGATTAATGCACCGGTGTAGTAACCGGCACGTAAGCAGGATTAATGCACCGGTGTAGTAACCGGCGCGTAAGCAGGATTAATGCACCGGTGTAGTAAACGGCATGTAAGCAGGATTAATGCACCGGTGTAGTAACCGGCGCGTAAGCAGGATTAATGCACCGGTGTAGTAAACGGCATGTAAGCAGGATTAATGCACCGGTGTAGTAACTGGCGCGTAAGCAGGATTAATGCACCGGTGTAGTAACCGGCACGTAAGCAGGATTAATGCACCACAAGCCATGTAATATACATTTTTAAAGGCACTCTGTGGAGCCTGAGAAATGTAAGCCATTATTTTATTAATTTAGTTTCATGCACTGTATGCCACTGCATTATGGGTAAAACCTGAGTTATTTACCAGTTATTAGAACCGGACTTGTGTAGAGTCTTGCTGAAGGAGGTTGAATAGAACTGTAAGGTATGACTGGACTACAAGAAGTGCAGTGCTTCAGTAAATAATTTTGGTATTGAACCCCCAACCACAGATCCTGGTCTTCAGCTGAAGCACTGATATTTTCTAAGTCATGGTTTTTCATCCTTTCCAAACACAAGGCTCATGTTAGTGACCCAGGTGGGTGGGAGTTTGTGTGTGGGGGTCATTGTGGACCAAACCGTTTTTGCTTGCCACAGTTCCATGGGGGCTGCTCATGCTCCAGCGATTGAGGAACCTTCATTAAGGTTACTTTATTTTTAAAATTTACAGTTAGAACTGAAGTTTATAATCATGCATTGATTTACTTAGCAGTCATACCACCTGCAGTTCGGACTAGGAAATCCATCTGAAGTGAAGCAGATTTTAGTCTCCTTTAGATGCGAGACTAACTGGGACAGCTGGGTAGCTGCTGGAAGAGGTGTTGGTGTAGCCAACAGGGTAGTCCATCCTGTGGTCGGTATGGGTCCCAGTGCCGCAGTGCAGTGACAGGTTAGCCCATCCTGTGGTCGGTGTGGATCCCTGTACCCCAGTGCAGTGACAGGTTAGCCCATCCTGTGGTCGGTGTGGATCCCAGTGCCCCAGTGCAGTGACAGGTTAGCCCATCCTGTGGTCGGTGTGGGTCCCAGTGCCGCAATGCAGTGACAGGTTAGACCATCCTGTGGTCAATGTGGATCCCAGTGCCCCAGTGCAGTGACGGGGATATTGTGCTGCACAAGTGGTAAAACCGGGGTCCTGACTCTCTGAAGTCATAAAAGATCCCTGGACACCTTTTGAAAGAGTAGGGGTGGTACCCCGATGTCCTGGCTGAAATTGCCCACTGTGGCCCTTTCAAATCTAGCCTCCTAATCATCCCCTATATCTAACTGGTGAATTCTCTCCTGCCCCTTCACCACCTGTGTGGTGAGCGTACTGGTGGAGAACGGCTGCCGTCACATCATCCAGGTGGGGCACTGTCAGAGACTGACCTGGGAACGTTTTGAATGGTCAACCCACTTGTGTATCCCAAAGTAGTTACCCTATAAGGGTAGTTATACGAAGTTTGACTTATACAGGATTGTTTAAAAGGACTTGTGTTGAATGAATGACATGTTGGAATTCAACTCGTTTACTAAACAAAATTCAGAAAGTTTTGCATTGTTTATTATTAACCACAAGAGGGAGCAAGAAGACCATAATGTAAAAGTTTGCATAGGCTCTCCTGTGATTAAGCTCAGTGAAGCATAATAATGACCAAGAGCAGGTCCTTGTGGCCATAAATTTAGAAAAAACAATGCAGTTTTATCTGCTAAATTGCTCCAGCTAATAAGCATTATCAGCACATGCCACCATAACAAATGAGGAGGAGTATGTCAGAGGTGAATATGCCGACTACCCCAGATGCAGAAAAGCTGAAGTACGTTCTCGTCTTAGGATACAGAAAAGCTGAAGTACATTCTCGCCTTAAGATGCAGAAAAGCTGAAGTACGTTCTCGCCTTAGGATGCAGAAAAGATGAAGTATGTTCTCGCCTTAAAATGCAGAAAAGCTGAAGTACGTTCTCGCCTTAGGATACAGAAAAGCTGAAGTACGTTCTCGCCTTAGGATACAGAAAAGCTGAAGTACGTTCTCGCCTTTGGATAAAGAGAAGCAGTGAGTAGGGCTGGTTCTCCATGGTAACCATTGTGAGCTGATTACAATGAAACAGCACTGAGAGAAATCAGTGGGAACCCAGCGCCCCACCACCAAAGGTAAATGAGATGCAATGACGTTTGTAAAAAGGCATTCTGGGTAGGGCCAGGCTGCCAGCTGAAACAGCAGAAACTATCCATCAATATGTTATTACAAAGAGGCAGTGCCAATAACCTTTATTATAAAGAGTTACCTTAAAAGGTAAGCCTGTTTTGGTTGAAGTATGGTATGTTGTTAATTCTCACGCGGCTTGAATTGTCATCCTCTTACCCAAATTTAGAAACAAGTCCAAATATACTCATACTTCTAAAATTACAGACCTAATGTCATTGAGAAACTAATGCTAATTCATGTATGAGCTCACAGATCGCATAGCGGGATTGAATTTTTTGCACATAAACAGTAATATTCAATGGGGAAAATGCTGTTTTGTTGTCATCTGAGGGTTTCAAAGGAATTTTGGCTGCAAGTATATAAAGGCTAATCAAGCTCTCTCAAATAGGACTTGGACCCACCCAAACATTTTGCTGAGGGTTCAGCATGTTAGTTAATCCAGTGGTGGATCTACTTGCTGTTGTTAATTCTCCTGGATTTTGCACCATGGAGGACTGAACACCAAAATAAAGACATTGAGAGCAAGGTTATCCTAACAAATATATTCTTTGTGCCCTCATCCATCTACTGTATACCTCTGGGCATCAGGATCTATGTGTAAAGTCATTAGTTTGTCAATGATATTTAAAACCCCGAAAGATGTCATACGAAGGAGGTGGAAAAGTTATAAAATAGTTTGTCGCAGTTTGAATGTTGGCACTGAAAACCTGAAAAGTGAAAACTCAGGTATATAGTAGCTCATTTCAACAAGTGAAACTTATACATGTGTGTGGAGCTGAATAAATGTTAAGGATAGTGTCAGTTTAGTGACCCGTGTCTTCCCTTTTGTACTGCATTTTAAGGCCAGTATGTGGTTTTATGGAATTTAGCCTTTACTAGTGCTGAATCGTCACACACAAACGGAGTCTGTAAACACTTTAATATATTAGACAAACCTATTTATGTGTGTCAAGGAAAAGCACATTTATTGTAAGTACATCCACGTTAAAACCCACTTACAAAAAGATTTTAAAAGTAGAAAATATAGCAATAAGCAAATAAATTTACAAAAGCACTCATTAATATAACATGCATGAAAATATTAAATCCTGGTAATCTCAATAAATGCTTTATATATGATTTTAAACTGCATATTATAAAACAACTATAAATGAAAATGAAACCTCTCATAATGAAACCTCTCATAAAATCACCACAGTATTTGCAGCAACCATACAATACAAATATGTATTTTTTGACTTGACTACTAACTCACCCCCTTATGGCTAATGATAACCTCATTGACTTTTAACTAATTAAATTAAAGAATTCAATAAGCTGATGGTGAAATTTAAGAAATACATGGAATGGCGGAGGTGCCCCTGAGGAGAGCTTTGGGACCTGAAGCGGTGTTCATCTAGCCATCCTACAAGGCATCAGTAACTTTATTTCTTTACAATCCCAAAAGCCTTGAAAACATTCACCTTGAGGTTCTCTACGAAACCCATCTGGAGATCAGACTCCTCTGCCTTTCTTCTAGCTTCCCTCAGCTCCTGCTCGTATTCCATCTTGATTACACCCAACCGTTTTTCAATCTCCATGTCCAGTGCTTCTCTCAGCTCTACTGCAAGTTTTTCTGCTCTCTCCAATCTCTTTTTCACTATTTTTTCTCGGTGGAGTCTTTTCTTCTCTAGGGCTGCTTCTTTGATCTCCTCCTCCTTCTCTCTGATCTTTGCCTCTGCCTCCTCGTACATCTCCTGGGTATAAAAGCTGTCTCCATTCAGGGCCATCATTTGGTCAATCATATCCAACAGTATTTTCACTTGCTCCCTGTTGGAAGGTTTCTTGTTGTTAAAGACACAGTATCTGCCCCCACACTTCTTGATCACCCCCCTCAGGTCTGGGTGAGCATGCCTGACAAAGTCACGAATGGTCAGCCTTTGTAGGTCATCTCCACGAGTGAACAGGATGATCATAAAATTGTTTGCTTCTTCGCCAAAGATCTTCTGCAGAGCTTCAACACACACCTTCTCCTCCTTTGTGAATCTGTTCAGTTGCATCACCAACAGGAAAGCATGTGGCCCTGGGCAGGAGACCTGGATACATTTCACTATCTCTTTCTGGATTTCGTTGTTGGGCTGCTCAGTGTCAAACAGGCCTGGGGTATCGATAACAGAAATGGGTCTGTCACATACTATGGCATCTTCCTTTTGACACTGACTGGTGACTGAAGCACTTCTGAGTGCAGATTCAAACTGTTTCCTGCCCAGGATGGTGTTGCCAACTGCGCTTTTCCCCACACCTGTTTTACCCAGCAGGACAATCCTCATTTGGGGGCAGTCAAAGTGGTGCTGAGGTCCTTCTTCTCCAGAAGTTTCACCTCCAGCTGTGAGTAAGAATACTTAGATGTTAAGGTTTGTTGATACTTAAAAGCACAGTGAAATTCAGAGCCATGTAAACATCTAAGGACACCAAACTTTAGCCATCAGTGTGCGACGCGAATACTCAGTACAAAGTAATAGACTGTGCTCAGTTTTATTGAGTAATTCCAAAAACTTATACTGAATATCATCTTTACAAACATTATGTCACACTTTCTGAAAATAATCCAATAAAAATAAGAAAATCTACCATTAGAAAGTCTAATTATATGGTCTACACTGTGAATGGATAAAATTAATCCAGAACAGTCAAGGCACATTGAAGACAATATGCCAACCCACCTTTGTTTATCGTCAGAGCCATTTTCCCCTGAAGACAGCTCATAGTCTGCTGCTGGAGAGGTCTGCCAGGCCTTACAAAGATATTTTCATATACCGTCTAACAGTAACTCCCATTTAGTGCTCCCTCCCACAGACTTCGCTCTGACTTTGTTTGATAGTGTCGGAGGCACCTCCCCCAGGTGATATGTCTGTTGATATGAACATGGCAGATTTTTTCTATCCTGTCCCAGAAATGCAGCAGGAAGTCAAAGTATTGTTTATGAATCTTTCAAAACAAAGAAAATTTCATATTTGTGTAACACATGAAACATATTGTCACACAACATAAGATGATGACAGTGACTGTGAAAAAGATTATAAGAAAACAGGAAAATCTTGTGGATGTAATTGGGGGGGGGGGGGTTAGCGAGGTTTCTGTGCCTATAATGTAAAAGTACTGTGGAGAGAGAATGATCACAGGACAGTGAAGGATTCCTTCTCTTTGGGATAAAATGAACCAATAAATGAATTACCAGGCAATATTTATGGTTCTATATCTGAACCTGGAAAGCAGCATTCAAGAATTTCAAATGTATGATGCTGTTTATTATCAATAAAAGTAATGTTTGCGCCATGCATTTCTTTTAATTAATTCTATTAAATGTATGTAGTTTTGGAATATCTATAATGTTTTATAAAATGTGTACTTGCACTATTCATAATCTTAAGGATAAAATCAAAGCTGAAATACAGTGATGTTTCACTGCAAGCAAAACACTATATCAATATATCTGAAAAGTATGAAGAATATGAACAGTATGTGAACAGTCTGTCCAAATACGCACTGCAGTCTATTCAATGCTGGAATTTTAAAATGTTCGTGTACATTTCACATACATTCATGCATCTTAAAACATGCTTTGTACAGTACTTGTTTGCTTTGGTAGACTGCTCAACTAACCAGTATGTCTGGTCCTGATGTTGTGCAAGAAGTGAGTCTGTAAAATAACATGTACTTCATATATTCTAATGGGGGAATTTGGCAGCCGCTTATGAACACCACCCAATGGCGATGCATATGTTTATTCTTAAATTGCTAACTATTATTATTACATTTTCTGAATGTCATTACGAGGTGACAGATAATCTCCCTAACATCCTTATACTTCCACACCACTTCCAACTAACTGACAGAAAATGAGCTGGCAGCAAGTCAGATTTCAGTATGTGAATGAAGCAGGTAAACAAATCTGGTGGGAGGGAAATGGGGCGCTTTTGTGTGGGGAAAGGTCTTCTGTTAGGTAGCACCAGGGGCGCCGTAAGGGGGAGGAAAGCTAGGACGATTCCAAGGGCCCCTGAGTGACAGGGGCCCTAAAAAATTAGGAAAATAACTGGATTGGTTTGGACTGGGGGGCCTAATATGATATGCTTTCATGGGGCCCAAAATCTCTAGCAATGCCCCTGGGTAGCACTGGTGTTGCAGGCACCTCGCTCTGCCCTCTGCCACTTTTCATTATCAGGCCAACTGGGGTATTGGCCTTTTAATCCGAGCAAAAGCCGTGGAGAGTCCAGGGTCGGTTTTAAGTGAACTTCACCGGACCGTATTTATATAAGCTTCTTTGTTTTATTGTTCCAAAAAAATATTCAGATTCAGTTGCTTTGAAACTTTCTAATGAGTTGAAAAAGACACGAGCAGTAAAGTCAGCATTACAGAACGTCCCTTTAATCCTTTTTTTGACCATTCACCTTAAGGCTTCCACTGTAACACTGAAACCCAAACATGACCAGAACAGGCTGAAGCCCATGTGTCACCCTAGGTGAGCTTCACTGCACCCACATCACTGTACAGCAACATTATCACATGATGAAAAATAAATTAGAAATAGTTACACACAAAAATAATATGTCTTAAATGATGGGCCCTTTGAAGGAAATGAGCAATTAAAAATATTTCACAGAACATAATCAAACAAAGATGTAGAATAAAGATGTAAGAATAAAGACCTCAGCCTGTTAATGCATTAACACATTACTGTTAATCATAAAGTGCAAACTAATAGGAGGATCTCAAGCAATAACACGTTAATTTGTCTTTGATGAGAGTAACTGTAATTGCATTGCTTTTGATACCATAGGAGGATAGTATTATCATATATGTTTTATAGAATTTCTGTATCGCAATGACTGTATACACGATTAATTGCCAAGGCTCAGCTACACCGCAGAGCAGCAGTTGTGGTACACATCGCCTGAGACGAAGGGACATTGGCTGGCTAAGTGCGGCTGTTCTGTACCAGCACCGCAAAGTGCGTAATTACTTTTAGGGGTATAAACAAACCCATGTTCTCTGACGTTGGTCGGCTAGGCGACTGCCTAAGCTGCCCAATGAGCTGGTTTTGAAAGTGAAATCAACTTTAAACCTGCAGTGATTCACTGCTTCTTTTATATGGATTCAGAGTAATGCTGTGGCATGCTGAGGGTATTTATGTGCCGAGTAATGTTAAGTACCTCCCACACAATGCTCCCGCCCTCTCTTAAAGGCATACCAAAGGCACTATAACTATACCAAATGCACCGTCTCTCAGGGAGACATTAGCGAGAAGTTCAGGCTCGTTCCAGGTGCACAAAGAGATATGACTAAGGGTGATAGTAAGTATTCAACTTTTGTTAAAAAAAAAAAGAGCCTTTGGAAACAGGGACTATTATTTATTATTTCATTTGCTTAACAGCTTTTTTACCTAGAAAATTGTCTCTGTTTTATGTTTTTTCTATGACTCAGTCAATGACCTTCATGTAACTTTTAAACGTGTTTCCAACTTAGATATTTATGCTTTTGGACAGAACAAAAATCTTGGGTTTCATCATGTTTTAAAATGATTGAAATCACTAATAATCTGTGTTTCACATGAGAACCTGCCTGCTTTAATAAAAACTCTCTTACACTTAATTATGTTGTTGCTTAAATGTAAATACAGCATGGAAATATAACCTCAACAAATACAGCATGAAAGATGTCATTTAATATGATTATTGAGCAGCAAACAATAAACGTATAAATATATTAATTCTTCTGAAATAATTGTTGTATCAAAGGCGGTGGATAATAATCCCACGTCGGGCTGCACACTAGGGGCCAGTGATAGCAGCTTATCATCCATAACTGAAACATGTACTTATGTAAAAGGAAACATTTCTGCTAAAACATCCCTATGTAACCAAAAGGACACAAAAGCAACTTTAGGATGTTGTTTTTTTTACTGGAAATTTGCAATTTTTGGTTACAAAGTTTATTTTTCTTTTAGCTGTCACACTGGTGCTGCTGGGCAGGAGAGGCTCAGGGAAGAGCTGCTGTGGAAACACCATACTGGGCAGAAAAGGGTTCCAGTCCGTCCTCAGCACCAAACCAGTGACCACAGAGTGTGAAAAATGGACTGAGTCTATTCAGGGGAGACAGGTCACTGTCATCGACACACCAGATTTCTTTGATGACTCTCTCCCTGATCTTAAGCCCCACATTGACACCTGTAGGTCCTTGGTATCAGAAGGTCCTTGTGTTTATCTTCTGGTGTTACAGTTTGGTCGCTTCACAGAGGGAGAGAAGAAGTTAGTGGAGCAGACTGAACGCGTGTTTGGCCGAGACGTCACACGGCGCATGATAATTCTGTTCAGTTATGGTGATGATCTGGAGGGCATCACCATTCAGGACTTCCTGATGAATGCTCAGACAGATCTCAAAGTTCTAGTGGAGAAATGTGGGAACAGGTGCCATGTCTTCAACAACAGGGACACCAGCAATCACAGGCAGGTGACAGAGCTTCTGAACATGGTGGATGGTATGCTGGACAGAGGTGAAGGGGACACACAGCTGACTGATTCTGTGAATGGTGTAGAAAGGAAGGATAGAAAAGAACTTGCAACTGAATGTGCTATGAGAGATGGAAGGAAGATGCAGGCACAAGGCAGCCCAGTGACAAGAGGCAAAGACAGCAATGCTCAGAGAGATGGAAGAAATGACAAAGAAAGGACACCTATGTGTAAATGTGTTTTGCTTTAATACTAACAAACAATAGTGAAATTGGTTAAATTAGATTCAGCACCGGTTATCATCGGTTTACATGAGCCTTACTGTATGTCACCTATATATTACATATGTACACATAGCACAGTGTCTTGCAGGTTACATGCCATGTGTTAAGCTTTGATACAGCAGCTAAAGATGCCAAAAGAATGATCAAAAACAAAATGTAAATGCCCAGTTACACTAACTGTCATGTCCTTTAAAAACTGGCTATTATTAATATTACTGCACTAAGATGAAACTGAGTCACCAAAAATTAAAAAGCTTAAGACAGTGGAATCAGTGACAAGTCAAGCTCTGTCTCTAAATTCACTTGCTTATCTTACTCCAGTCATTGTGAATCATGCAAATGAGCTTAATAGGACCAGTATCATTATAATTTTTTTTAATTTTTTTACTTGAAATAAAATGGGACTGTGTTAAAAAAAAACACACACACAAAAGCTTGGTCTGTTTATATTAAATGTCTTTTCTTTTCAATTATAGTTACCAAAACATAGAACAATATTAAATACATCCCGTTAAACAATATTTTTTTTTTCCTCAGATAAAATTTATACTGTACGTTTAATGGAACTTAAACTTGCTTGTTTTATTAAAATGTGCATTCTTCCAGGTAGGACTCCTTGAATTCCTTGCAAACTTGCAAACTCCAGTTGGTTGGCTTCTGTTCTTTCAGCCTTTATCAGCTGACGATAGCAACTGCAAACAGGGTTTCATTGTTTAGAGTCTGGGCTTCATGAAAGTTCAAGGAAATCTATCAAAAAATCTATTTCACAGCAATGTATCTAGTTCACAGTGGTGGACAGCTTGGAGCCTACATCATAAGAACATAAGAAATTTACAAAGGAGAGGAGGCCATTCGGCCCATCAAGCTCATTTGGGGAGAACTTAACTAATAGCTCAGAGTTGTTAAAATGCTCTAGCTCTGATTTAAAGGAACCCATGGTTTTAGCTTCCGCTACACTAGCAGGAAGACTATTCCATACTCTAACTACACGCTGTGTAAAGAAGTGTTTTCTCAAGTTCAGTTTAAAATGTTCAACCTGCTAATTTCCACCTATGGCCACGAGTTCTAGTATTTAAACTAATATTAAAGTAGTCATTTGGCTGAACAGCATCGAGATCTGTTAGAATCTTATATACTTGGATCATGTCCCCCCTTAATCTCCTTCGCGAGGCTGAACAGATTCAGCTCAGCTAACCTCCCCTCATACTGTAAGACATTCCTCTAAGACCTGGAATCATTCTTGCAGCCCTACGTTGAACCTTTTCCAAGGCAGCAATGTCCTTTTTAAGGTATGGTGACCAAACCTGCACAAAATATTCTAGGTGGGGTCTTACCAAGGAATTATATAATTGTAGCATCACCTTCCTTGGCTTAAACTCTACACACCTATAGATGTAACCCAACGTCCTATTGGCCTTTTTAATTGCTTCCCCACGCTGGCGAGAGTGGGACATGGAAGCATCAACATACACACCGAAGTCTTTCTCATAATCAGCTACCTTTATTTCAGTGGAACCCATAAAATATCTGTACTTTATATTTCTGCTCCCTGCATGGATTACCTTACATTTATTTACTTTAAATTTCATCTGCCAGATATCAGCCCAGTCGCTAATTAAATCCAGATCCCATTGTAGCCTCTCCGCTGCTAGATCAGTATCTGCTACACCACCCACCTTGGTGTCGTCTGCAAATTTCACCAGTTTACTGTATGTATTGGTGTCAATATCATTAATGTAAATTAGGAACAATAGTGGTCCTAAAATTGAACCCTGCGGTACCCCACTATGAACGCAGGCCCACTGTGACATTGTGCCTCTAATAACTACCCGTTGCTTCCTGTCTGTTAACCAGTCTTCGATCCAAGCTGCTACAGTTCCTAAAATCCCTGCAGCTTTGAGCTTAACCAAGATGGCGGACACTCCTGCGAGTCTGGACGCACGTGGGGAGATTTGTAAGTAAATGTTTTTTAATCTGCTTTTTATTTTATCATAATAACTACAAGTATATCTTTTAAACATGTTTCATGTTTGGCTTTGCTGTCTTTTTACCGGTAACGTTAATGTCGAAAGCTCGACAAGCGTCTGCAGTGCTCTGCTTCGCGCACATTTTTTAACCATTAACCCCACTGCCATATTTAATTTATATGTAACGTTAATATTGTAATCGGTTAGTCAGCGGAATTAAGTCATATTTTTTATTCTGTTTTTGTTAAGCGATCTGTTCTTGAAAATGCAAATTTATGCTTGCCTTCAGCTGTTAATGTACTTGAGGCTAGCTGTAACTTTTATCCATTACGTTAAGGCTAATGACACAAAGTTAGCAATATATTGGAAAAATAGTTAATAATAAGAGTTGTGAAAACTAGGGATGGTAGAGACACCGGCAAGCTCGTATTAACATTTACATATTTTTGGCCTTGTAGGCTTAAGTTAAAAGTGGATGCAGAGTCTATGAACTTGGTAAGTATCCTTTTTTCGTTTACTTTAGATATTTTTAGCAGCTTCACACGTAACCCTGCATTAAATATTTATCTAATTTTGTACAGATCAAGTTAGCAACTGAGTGAAGTAGAATAACATATGTTCATAGTTTACAAAGCAATGTACAAATTGTACAAAACAATGACTGAAACGTGCATTGGCTTTGGCCTCATTGGTCGACTTTGTAGCTGTCACGTTCGGCTTGGAGGCGAGCAGGGAAGCAGGCGAGAGCAGCCAGGAAGGCACGACAGACGGACAATACACCCACGTTTACCTGACTTCCTGGCTGCTCTCGCCTGCTTCCCTGCTCGCCTCCAAGCCGAACGTGACAGAATGACGAGTCTCCCCCAAGACGCAACGCAGCAGGAGGAGGACATTTGGCTCATCCTGCTGCATGAGGTAGCGCTCTGGAAAGAACAACCCGAGATCCAGGACGACCCAGCTCTGAACAGCCTTGTGACTCAAAGCTGGGATCTCCTCCAGAGCGTACAGCCCCAAACAGAGGAACGCATCGTGGAGGAGGTGCGTTCCCTGCTGCGGCAGCTGGTCCTCCAGTTCGAGGAAAAGAGGCTCCAGCTGCTCGTCTGTGCGGAGGCAACCCCGCCTCCTCCTGCTGGATCCGGGCGACGAAAGAAGAAGAGACGCCGGGGAAAAGGGGAGGTAGAAGCTCCGATGCTCTCCCTGGGGGCCTGCTCCTTACTCCCCGCCTGGGAGGACCCCGCCGCTGCCCGCCTGATCAGCACCCGCCTGGAGAAGCCGCCCCTGATGGAGGCATACAACTACCGGCCGGCGCGCCTGGGTCAAGGCGGAATACGTGCAATGAGGGACGCTATCTCTTGGGTGCCGAGAGCCCTTAAAGGAGCAGCGCCTCATCGCTTGGCACCTCTCCTGCCGCTGGTGCCGGACCTGCAGGCTTCGGACCTGCCCGCGGCACCGCCTGCTGCTGCCGCCACACTGCCCGCGGCACTGCCTGCCGCGGCTGTCGCCGATTTGCCCGCGGCTGCGCTGCCTGCTGCTGTCGCCGATCTGCCCGCGGCTGCATTGCCTGCTGCTGTCGCCGATCTGCCCGCAGCACCGCCTGCTGCAGCTGCCGCCGCCTTTCCAGCGGTATCGCCTGTCCTGCCGGCACCTGATCTGCCTGTCTCGCCTGTCCTGCCGGCGCCTGTCCTGCCGGTGCCTAATCTGCCTGTCTCGCCTGTCCTGCCGGCGTCTGAACTGCCCGAGGTGGCCGCGGTTGCGCCCCCTGCTGGCCGTGTGATGGCAGCGCCTGCTGAGGCGCCCCCTGCTGGCCACACGCCCGCGGCCCTGCCTGAGGCCGCCTCTCCCGTCCTGCCCGCGGCCATGCCCGCGGCTCTGGCTGCCCCGCCTGCGGCCACGCCCGCGGCTCCGGCGGCACCACCTGCTGCCTCACCAGAGGCCCTGCCTCTGGTTCCCCCAGCCCTACTGACTCCTTTGCTCTTGCCCCGACAAGGCCGATGCCCCACAGGACCCCGCCTTTCGGTGTCCCGTAAGGGACGGGGACAAAGGCGCCGGGCTCGGGTCCAGCCCGCCCTGCCCCCTGGCTCGCCCGTTCGGCCCCTGGCTGTGGCTCGGTGGCTGCCTGCGGGTCCTCCGGCTCGGGGTCGGCGGTCCCCTCCGGGTCCCCCCCTGGATCCTCGGTGCCGGTCCTCAGTCCTGCCTCCGGCTCCGTGTCGGCCGCCTCCGGGCCCCCCTGCTCCGGCTGGGCGTTGGACGGCGCCTTCGCCGGCTTCGGCTGTGCCTCCGCCTGCCGCGGCTTCCCCCTCCTGCCTGCCTGCACTGGTGTTCCCTCCTGCTCCCTCCGTGTCCCCTCCGTCACTCCCTCGCCCCGTTCCCTTGGCCCCTGGGTGGTCCCTTTCTGCTCCCTTCTCCCTCTCGCCTGCGGCCCCTCCGGCCACTGCCCGTCGCCCGCCTGGGTTCCCTTGGGCTCCCCTTGTTCCTCCTCCCTTTCCCTTTCTGCCTCCTGTCTCTGCTCCTCTGCCCTCTATGTCTCCTCTGTTCACTCCTGGCCCCTTCGTGTCGCCTGTGGGTGTTCCCTCTGTGTTCCCCTTCTCTGTTTGCCTGTCTGCGTTTTCTGTTCTTTGTCGTGTCTTGTCGTTCTTCTGGTCCCTGTTCCTGTTTTGTTCCTCTGTCCTGATTACGGTCCCTCGTTGATGTTTTGGTTCTGTCTTCCAGGTCCTGTTCCCCGGTTTCGTCCCGTCCGTCGCCTCCTCTCGGGCGCGCCCGGTGTGCGCGCCTTTGGGGGGGGTTATGTCACGTGCTGCTCCGGCCGCTCCTGATGTGTGCCACGCCCACCTCATTACCTCCTGTTTCGCCCTGATTGTTCTCACCTGTGGCTCGTTATCCGTGGCTTGTCTTTTGTATTTAGTCCTCGTCTGAGTCAGTCTTCCCCAGACTCGTCATTAATGTTGCCTGTCGTGATTCCCCGGTCCCGTTCCTTCCAATAAATCCCCGTTTTTGCCCTACTTCCTGACTCCGTCTGCCTGTTTCCCTGATCGCCTTTCGCCCGACCGTGACAGTAGCATTTGCCAGATCTAATTTATTATAATAATGAAAACTGAAATGCTGTTATTTTTTGTTTTCCTGTATAGATCAGAGCATGTGAGCGGAGCGGAGCGTGAGCGAGGAGCAGAGCGGGCGGAATTTGGTCAGAGCGCGGAGCGGTTTTGTAATTAAGGCTGGAGCGGTCGCTCTGTCTCGCTCCAATTTCGCTCCGATACCGCTCACACTACGATTCTGAGGCGTGCCCAAATATACCCAGAATTCATCTGTACAATTATCAAGACTGTTACACAAATTAGCCGAGATGGAATTCACAAAGTATTTCACAAAGGAAACTGATA